GTTTTAGATTAGGGTTTAGGGTTTAGGGTTTAAATTTAGGGTTTAGGGTTTAGGGTTTAAATTTAGGGTTTAGGGTTTAGGGTTTAGGATTTAAATTTAGGGTTTAGGGTTTAGGGTTTAGGGTTCTGAGAGGGCAAACTGCATGCCAAACGTCAGAGCTCAATATCGATTGCCTAAAGCCTTAACCCTAGTTTATGTATGCTTCAAGCGAGCAAGAAAGAATCAGCCCCAAAACCAGCCACTTCGGGGCTCTTTGTGAGGTGAAGCTCTTTGATTTCCAGCCGGCCGGAGCAACACAAAGCTGCTGCAAGCAGGTTTCTGAAGTTCATTTTTTTGGGGGTTTAGGGGGAATCTTGCGCGGTTGGTTTGCAAGGTCTCAGGGCTTGGGCTTTAAGAGATACGGGTAAGCCCTAAACCCTCAGCCCTAAACCCTAAATCCTCCATGCGCCCCGAAACCCGGAGCCTTCAATCATTATTTAGGGTTTAGGGGTTTAGGGTCTAGGGTCAAGGAGTTTAGGGTTTAGGGTTTAGGGTTTAGGGGTTTCTATGTCTGACCATGGACATTCGTGCTCGGCTGTAACTTTACCACAAGCTTTCCCTGTAGCCGTCTTCATTGTCGGATATGTTTGCCAGCTACCCCAAACCTTGACCGAACCGTTAAATCCGAACCCCTAACCCCGAAACCCTCAAACCCTGAACCTTACACACCTACACCCTCAGCCCTGATCCCTAGACCCCAATCGTTGAACCATACGACAGCTTCCGAAATTAGGCCTCTTCGGGCAATTCAGATCAAGGGGTGGCCGAGGTGAACCCTTTCAGGGTTTAGGGTTAATTATTGGTTTATGGTGATTCTTATGTATTTTGATTCGTATCACTATGATTACTATTGTTATTGTCTGTATGATTATTCGTTTTTGTATAGTGATTATATCATCATTTGTGCTGTTTACTTTTCGGGTTTAGGTTGGGCGTGTGATCCGACGTCGACTTCCGCGCGGCCAGGCCTGTGCTGGTTGCGCCTACTTCTCGGGAAATTCCTGCCAACGTTGTGCCGGTGGCTTCATCCTGCGTGAAGGCCAATGCACAGCCTGCACCAGTTCCGGCGGTTGGCTCCTTGGAGTATTTTGTGCGTGTTTGTGCTTTGGACCAAACTATCCACATGGAGGTAAGCTAATTGAAAGCCACCCCTCGACAGAGATGTTGACCTCAGTTTAAACATACTAATGATAATGACAAATAATTTCTAATGATAGAAACAGAAATATACTACTACTACTACTACTACTACTACTCCTACTACTACTACTACTACTACTACTACTACTACTTCTACTACTACTGCTACTTCTTCTTCTTCTTCTACTACTACTACTGCTACTACTTCTGCTGCTACTACTACTTCTGCTGCTGCTACTGCTACTGCTACTGCTACTGCCACTGCCATTGCCACTGCCACTGCCACTGCTACTGTTACTACTTTTTCCTCCTCGTACTGCTACTACTAGTACTAGTACTACTAC